CTCCAGACCTGTGAATGCCGTTCTAGGCATACCACCCCCGGACACAGACGAGACGGAGCTTCATCTGCCTCGGGAGACTCGCACAACACTAGCACAACTTCGCTCCGGCTACTGCAGCAGGTTAAACTCCTACCTGAGTAGATTGAATGAGGATGTGCCGAATGAGTGTCCGGCATGCGGAGAGACCCCACATGACTCGAAACATCTCTTCGCATGCCCGGAAAACCCGACAACCCTAACGGCCTTGCCCCTGTGGACCAACCCTACAGAAGCTGCACGCTTCCTAGGGTTGCCGTTAGTGGAACTTGACGACCACGACTGAGATACCAACCGTCCTGGGCGGGGTTGTTGTAGCCGCTACAGCAACAACAACAACAACAGAATTGAGATATTGAAAAGGTTACAACGGAACTAATTTTAGTTTTTTTGTTGTAAATTTGTTGTGAAAAGAAAAAATTTGTAGCTTTCGTATTTTAAGAAAAAATAGTATGTAGTGCTAACTTGACACCATGCACCTAGTCGATAGAATTGAGATATTGAAAATGTTATAACGGCATTAATTGCAGCTTTTTTGAAGCTAAAAGTTACAGTTTTTTAAAGCTAAAAGTTACAATTAGTGGCATAGTAACATATTGGATATCTCCATTCTATCGACTAGGTGTATGGTGTCATGTTAGCACTACATACCATTTTTTTTTTTAAATGAGAGCTACAAATTTTTTCTTTTCAACAAATTTACAACAAAAAAGCTACAATTAATTCAGTTGTAACCTTTTCAATATCACAATTCTGTCGTCAATGGTGCATGCTGTCAAGTTAGCACTACATACTAAATTTTGTTCGAAAAAGGGTCAACTCATTTTTTTCCAGAAAAACGAAAGCTACAAATTTTTTCTTCTCACAACAAATTTTAAAGCTAAAAACTACAATTAGTGGCATAGTAACATATTGGACATCTCCATTCTATCGACTAGGTGTATGGTGTCAAGTTAGCACTACATACCATTTTTTCTTAAAAAACGAGAGCTACAAATTTTTTCTTTCCACAACAAATTTTAAAGCTAAAAGCTACAATTAATGCCGTTATAACATTTTCAATATCTCAATTCTATCGACTAGGTGTATGGTGTCAAGTTAGCACTACATACCATTTTTTCTTAAAAAACGAGAGCTACAAATTTTTTCTTTCCACAACAAATTTACAACTAAAAATCTACAATTAATTCCGTTGTAACCTTTTCAATATCTCAATTCTGTTGTTGTTGTGGTAGCAGCAGTACTCAACCCCCCGGGGTTCGGCAAGGGTCGTCTTCGTCCCTTCGACAAGCCTGAGGCCGAGAAAGCGGGCGGCGTCTATAGGCGCGGTCCATAGTGCTTCTGGTGTCAGGGTCGTGGGGGTAGAGGCGCATGCGAAGAGGTGTTGGGTGTTGTGTGGACCTTGCCCGCATGCAGGGCATGTGTCTGCCACTTCTGGGTTCAGCCGGGAAAGATAGCTGTTTAATCAGTGGCACCACCCAGAACGGAGTTGTGATAGGGTGCACCTGGTCTCTCTAGGCAGTTCGGCTTCGTCGATGTTGATGGGTGGCGGACGACCACCTAGAACGATGTTGTCGTTTCTGGTGCTATCTCAATTCTGTCGTCAATGATGCATGGTGTAAAGTTAGCACTACATACCAAATTATGTTCGAAAAAGGGTCAACTCAATTTTTCCAGAAAAACGAAAGCTTAAAATTTTTTCTTTTTACAACAAAAATTTTAAAGTTAAAAGCTACAATTAATGCATAGTAACATATTGGATATCTCAATTCTATCGACTAGGTGTATGGTGTCAAGTTAGCCTACATACCATTTTTTCTTACAAAATGAGAGCTCGAAATTTTTTTCTTTCCACAACAAATTAACAACAAAAACACTACAATTAATGCCGTAGTTAACTTTTCCAATACTAACTTGACGCAGGACCGTGGATCTACGGTAATTTTACCGTGGACCTACGGTAATTTTTCTCCGTGATCCACGGTAAAAGTTACCGTGGCGCGTGTAAGTAGACACTCCCTAAATTTTATGTTTCTGCGTGAAAACTTGAATTTGGACGAAACAAAATATCAATTAAATCGGCTGATTGTCAACGCGCGCAAGAAGAGGCAGTTGGCCATCTTTTCGCTTCGCGCTGCAGCTGCAACGATCTATGTCGCAGTCTTTGCGCAAAGCGAAGCAAGCGTTTTATTGGGTTTAGCTTTAACTGCAAGCTTGCATCGCCACATATACAGATACATTTCCCTAGTTTGGAATATCGTACTTACCTAAAGCCATGGGAAACTTTTTTAAATGACCCATATCGTACAGCACCCAAAGTAACTGTTGTTGCAAATCTGCTACTTCAACACAATCACTATTAGTTGTCATGGATATATTTATCGCAGTGGCAATAGCGGCAACTTCCATAGCCCTGTCACATACTACTGCCAAACCACCCAAATACAACCAAGAGCCGGATTCAATCCCTGCGGTTATATCCTGACCACGTTTATCTTCACTACCTTTACCATGCCATGTAACCTCAATACATTCATCATGTGTAGATCCAAATACAACCCACGCGTGGTCTTCCGATATAGCCAAATGTACATCACGATATCCAAGCATTTGGCAGCCTGCGACAACTGCGAGAGCTACACCGAAGCAGTCCAATTTATTGCCGGATAAATAACAATAAAGATTTTGTAAATGAGCACGATCTTTGTAACTACTTCTTATTAAAGAATGCCAAATGACATCCGAGACTTTTTTAATAACTTCGCGAGTTGCTTGGCGATTTTGCATTGACTTCGGCTTTTCTACTACGGATAGTATGCTTTGAAATTTTTTGTATAATCCCGAAACCAGTTCGTATGTAACAACAGGAAAAGGCACACTGTTGCTTTTTATAACGCGATTCGACGCTAAATAAGTAAAAAACCAAAAATTAAAATACTTAGAACTGCAATCTAGGCGCAAAATACCTGATATCCCTGCGCTTCCTGCTCCGCCCGCAAGGGGAGGTGGAGAAATAGTCGTATTCAATGTTGCATTTAACAGCGCGTGTTCAGCAGCTAAGGCAGCATCGCCTGTAGTTAAGGAGAGCTCTACATAACCTGCTACTATAGAAAGCAATGTAAGATCAGGCTCAATTGCTTTCCCCGAGAATCCATCCTCCGTGGATCGACGAAAAAAGCCCACCACGTCTTTTATGGATCTAAGCGGAAAATTACTGGCATCAACCGTCGAATGTTGTTCATTTTGACTTTCGGATTGAAGGCATTGGTGGTATAGATAGCTGTTTGGTTGGCCAACTGATGTATTAGCATTGGTACTACGAGTCGCGGTTGACATTGTTATGCAACGATTTCAGTTAAAAATGCTACAGTTGAATTTACGGCAGTGATCCGTCAATCTGAAATCTAGGGCCCCCACAAGTTAACAACCAACTTTTCCTGTTGCTGTATTAAGAGCTCCACTGGTTCGTTATTTACAGTTTTATTATTTCTTCAGAAGTTTCTACTGCTGTAATTTATTGGCTTTGTAAGCACATTCATCAGAACCAAGGCATTTGTGCATGCACATATCGCTCATTTGCTGCAAGTGTGTTAATCCAATAAATTAAAAACTCGAGAAATATAGTGAGATCTCAGTATATCCAGTAAACAAACTTAGCTATTTTTTTCACCAAGTTTGGTCCCCATAAGGGACTAGTGTTGCAAGCAACGCTTTTTCGGCAATTAGGGTGTTGTGCAGCTATTTAATGTGGTGAAAATTATTTAAGCACTGGAGAGATTTATTCACATGTAATTGGAGATAGGGCTGATAGATTTATTTTAAATAAATTGTGAATCTGCGAAAATATCTTTTCAGCAGATGAATATACTTTTTAACCTTTTTTCCGAAAATTTACATACAGGCTCGAAAATATGCGAGTAACATTACGTTTGTATAGTAACTTCTCCAGTAAAACATTGCAGCGAGAGCGTAAAAGCAAAATAGAGCGTAAAATTGAGAAGAAGAGAAAACTAGCAGAAGAGGTTATTGAACACAAAACTAGCAAAAACTTGCAAGAGAACAGTTGTTGCACTGCTTTGACAATCTGCTGTAAACATCTTACTATTTATAAATCAGTTTTAAACTCTTTGCTTTACACACAAGCACTTACACTGTAAGAATGATAGAATACAAGATTGCGCCGTCCTGGGCGTTGACATTTGTGTACCACAAGTAAACAAAGAATAGAGCGAAAAGAAGACCGAGTTGAAACTGCCAAAGCGGTTCACTTTACTGCGAAAAACGTGTTTTAATTTTGCTAAATGCGAAAATATTGCATTTGTCTTCTAATCTATTAGAGAACAGTGAACATATTAGTGCACTCCATTGCTTTGCAATTGAGCCTGCTTCAGCAAATGTTTTAGTGCACTTTCTTGCTTTGCAATTAAGGCTGCTGCAGAAAACTGCAGCAGCATCTCTCTGCGGGACTGATTACTTGCTAATGGAGGCTGCGTGGAGCAGAAACAAAATCATTGCGAGGAAATGCTGTTAATATAATAATAGAGAAACATTTCGGGAATGGCTTTGCCGTGCCATATGTACACAAAATGCAGCGGTTCGTCCCAGCGCTACACTTGCATCTACGCTTCTTGCATCTTGGCGGCTGTCGCACTTAAACACACAGCACTTCATTGTATTAGTTTTTACGCAGTCTTCAACTCAAAAATTGCTCACAAATTACAAATTAACACATTTTAAACTGATTTTTCACTAATAATTCATATTTCTCTTTCGCTGATTTGTAAACAAAGGTTTATTTACAAGTTACCACAACTGTCAAAATCGGCAAAACCAAAGTAGCGGTACCACTGACGGCGCCACCTTTGTTCGCTGCACCGTGCTTACACTGTCCAGTACATCATTAATATTATGATTTCCACTCATTTTACTTTTGTTTGTGCCAAGGCGATTCAATATAAGGTGATAGCAGGAGTACAAAAACAAAAATTTACATGAATTTTGTTTTTGCTGTGGCGGCATAAACTGTCAAAACCTGTAAGTGTGTGTAGAAATTCAAACAAAATTTTTCAATTTGATATCAGAAGCCGTGCGGCGAAACACATACACAAAATCAACTGAGCTAGTAACACCACTTTTATATATACTTTTGACATTTATTCTTCTTCTTCTTCTGCTAGCTAATTTCTGCTAG